TTTTTCTGGTTGCGCAGAGCAGATGCCCAACAAGTGTAACGCGGTGGCGTAAATGTGCTCGGTTCACAAAAAATCTGGTGTAGGTGATTGTGAGCGAAACTTCATTTCGCCCACGATCAAAGAATTCAAAAACATAAAACAAATATTATAGATAATCAATAACATAGATAATCAAATCACCTCAACTGGTCGTCAGAAAACACGCGATAAGATTGACAAAAAATGGAATGACGAAAAGCCACTAAACAAAAAGGGTTCAAAGAAATTGAATTCCCCGCCATGCCGAGCAACAGATATCACTATAACACGCTTATCTATTTTCTTTTTAATGTGATGTATTTCGTGATTTCACGCACTAAGGCATCATTACTCACATTTTAGTGCCCAATAAATGTTAGCTACGACAACAAGAGTGTGTATCCGCCACTCCTATCCTAGAAGAGGGGAAAAATGAACAAATACAAGCTGAATGATTCCAGATTCCAACAAAAAAGAAAAATGTAAGGTAGTCCTATGAAATATTCAATTTATTGGTCTTAAACTCCTACTTCGGACAGGGACACATGCGAAGAGAATCGCTAGTTGGGCATCCCTGTAGCGTCAGCCTCTGTCACAGCCTATTCACAACACCGTCCAAGCCTAAATACAACACATGCAAGAGCACATATTTGCAATGAAGGGCTTTAACATGATAATGTATAAAAACAATGTTCGTGATGAGCAAAAGGGAAGCCACTTGCGCAAAATACAAGGAGTTTGTGTGATTTCTTGTAGCAGTCAAACTGACTAGATGTCATTGTCGTCCACCATCTCAATCATCCGACGTGTTGGCCGGCACTGCAGAGGGCGCCTTAAAATGTCGACCACTTCGATCTCGGCGCTGCCTTAGCGGTGGGGACTGTTGGGTCCGAAGGGACAGTCGTTATAATAGTGCCATTTCTGGTGTTTGAGCTTGTCCCGGTACTGGCAGCCGAGCTTTGCTTGTAAGCAGTATACGAGCTTCTCTTGAACGCGAGGCAGGTTGGCCGGCTTCCCGAGGAGATGGGTCTGGTCGAACGGTGTGTAGTCCACCGGGCATAGAGCATGAAGACGGCACATGGCCGCGTTGCTTCCGCTTCGAAGATATTGTTCTTCGTGTTCCCAGAAGGCTTTATCACGGCAGCCGTAGCACACGATGTGAAAACATGGTAGTTGGGTGGCAAGACCAGGAACCCTCTTGCAGAAGACGCAGATTCGGCAGCTCTCCATCGGCTCCACGAATGTGAATTCACGCATGTCCAAGAAAGGGCAGCGAAATCCGCTGAGTACGGCGCGATGACCGGGCTGCACGGGACGCTCAGTTGACTGCTGAGCTTCATTTCCACTCGTTGAGGCGCACATTTCCATGACCGTTTCCTGGACTGCCTTTTGGAAGACGCAAAGAAGACAGTTGCGAGTTCTGAAAACTCTTCGCTGGTCGGCGTGTTCTGACTTGTCAGCCCTAGAAAGTGCTTTTCGAATACGAACTGGCTCAGCTAGGCAGTGGACCTGGGGAGTTCCTGGTCTTTGACAAAAAGGAAAAAGCACACCCGAGCGTCTCTGCACTCGCGTTTTATACCGTCCGTCTTCCCAAGATTCCTTGCGAGGGAAGACAATGGAGTCCAGGACCCTCCAATGGGATCGTCGTCTTTCACTTCGCTCGAGAACCAACCTCTTTTACTGGGCTCAGGAAGAGGCAGTCACAAACCCTTCCCAAGAAAGGGGGAAAGGCACGCACTGATCGTCTTTCAGGGACGAGGCAGTACACACAGACACTGTGCCACGCTCCCTCAAGGGCTGCATAAATTAGACGTCGTTATATTTCCTCTAACCACAACCAAGACCACCACCACAGACAAAAAGCACGGCACTGTTGTCACGGTGCGTTGACCTTGAACACATGCGCCGAGTCGACCCCTCCGGTTTGGCTAGGTTCATGGATGACTCATTGAGGAGACCTTGCCACGGGGCAGTCCGTGGGGCGCAGGAAAACAACACTGGAAAAGCATTCCGGTTCTTCTGGCACTCGATAAATTATCAGGTGCATTCCGACGACTCCAACAATGCATAAGGTACACGTCTTTCTAGGCAGGCCATACAGCAAAACAGCCCCTTCTAGGTAGTCCGTCGGTCTTGCGGGCCCAAAGGGCTTGAGGCGACACGACCAACCTAAAAAGTTCGTTTTGCGGTCAGGAAGCCTGTCAAAGTCAAAATCTTTCCACGCGTCGAAGCGGTGCCAAGACACGGGGGCTAATCACAACAGATGTCATTTTTTATATGCTTGTCACTCTGATACAAGTTAGGGTTGCCTCGTCTCCCCTTTTCTCTATCTCTGAATGTTCAGCTTATCTTTCTTTTCACATTGTTTAATAGGATCGAGGGGAACGCTGTTTTTTTACAGGTTTCGCCTTTGGTTTCTTGGTGAAAGGTCATGTTATAGAGGACTGTGCGAGACACGGCTGAGCAAGTGAGTCAGAGGAAATGTAAGTAATTGAGAACTGTGCCTATAGTGGGTGCCACTAGCGAACATTCTGATATGACATATTAGTCTTGTGCGGTATGATCTCGTATTATCTCGTAAGAACACGTATGAATCTATGTTCTCGTATGATCATACCACATTCTTAGATACGTGTCATACGTGTCTTATCAGATTTCTAAATATGCTAGTACCGGTTTCGCTGGACGAGCACTGCTTTTACTGACTGATACAAAAGTGCCTCGTTTAGCACTAACCTCCGCAAGAGATCGATTGAAGGGCACCTATAGTTTTAAAAAAGGCCACCACCATTAAATTAGTTGCAAGCGGGCCTATATAAAGACGTGCCAAGAGATTCATTCGTTAGCTGTGTGAATAAAATCATATGTTCCTTATGTCAGTCATTCTGTGATACTAAAACGTCGCTGAGAAATATATTTGACAAACAACTTCACTGATTTCTCATTTTTATTTTCCGCTCTTGAGCTAAAGAACTTCGAGAGCTGACCATAAATCTAGCACCTATTTATATTTATATGGCACTAGCTCTGCCTATTTGCTTTAACGCTACTCAAAGTATCCGGGAATGTTACTAAAACATGGGTTTAATTGGTCGTTCTGGTAAGCACTGCAAATGGCTGCGCGATACTTCAGATCTTCTATATCGGCATGTCACAGAAGTTTTAGGCGATTGCTGGACGTCGTGGAAAAACCGGCATCCGGAACAATCCGCGATCGTTCTAAATAATCGCGATTCAGTCTTTGTCTCCTTGCAACATTAAGGTTAATCATGAATAGAAAACGTATAATTGCCCTGGGGCTAGGTTGTAACCCCTCAAGGCACAACCCTGACTTGACATTTCGCGGCGTCGCATTTCGGTGGAAGCGTTATGTTAGAGGCCCCTGTATACTTTGCGATGCCAGTGCATGGTTAAGAACACCAGATGCTTGAACTTCCTGGGGCCCTCCTTCTTAGTCGCATATTATCATATCATGGTTTTTTGGGCGTAAGAGCCCAGATATTATTATTGACTTGTTGTAAATACAGAGGTATGCTAACTAACTTCTTCGGATATTTTTTTCTTTATAACTACATGTTTCATCAGAATACATATACCAGGCTGATCCTTGTAAAATTAAATGGACGACAAAGCTTCCTTTCTATATACATATATTTTTAACTACGGTAACACGTTAAAAAACCCCAGGTGGTCGAATTTCCGAGCCCTTCACTACGACGTCTCTCATATTCATATGGTGGTTTTGGGACGCTAAACCCCACATATCAATCTACTAGGGTAACACGCGCAGCTTCAAGCCCCCCCCCCCCCCGCCTTATGATGTAACTGATTTGAACTGATGTGTACATAATGCACAGTACAGTTTTGTTGACCCACGAAAACTGCCCAATACTGGTGGTGTTGAATCATGGGAAACCTTTCAACGCAATGACACTTCCACCGATGACTACGCCATTAGCATCAGAGAGCTGCGAATTCGGTGATAGCTTGTATAGACCCCAAGAAACCGAATCCGATGTCGTCACTTTATTTAGAGCGTGACCACGACGATGTGGTAAGAGTATACCATCAGCAATTGAGTTTCCCTCTCTGCACATCTATCTCGCTTTTGCGCGTTTGCCCAATCAATCGAATCGATCAATCAATCGATCGATCAATCAGTCAATCAATCAAAGTACCTTGAATTTCAACATAGGACACATTTACGGCGAAAAAACGTGACCAGGGGCGAAAAAACTGTCCAATGACAGCTCGACAAAGTCCCAACCTCTGATCGGTGGTGAGACGAGAGTAAATCTTGCTGTAGTGGAAAATTCGGATTTTATATGCACCGTTTCGAGCCCCATGCAACCGAATTCACCGGGGCGAAATATTCCTTACCACGGTGTTTGCCGCCACTGCCACTGGATTTGGCCACCGAAGACCACTCCTCGTGGTGGCAACAAAGTTACGAGGAAAAGAAAAAGTTGCGCCATCTTCAGAGCCAGAAAACAAAGGATCTAACAAGCAACCAAGTCTCAAGCAACAGCGGAGCATGGCGGCCTTTCTTGCTTGTTCCTTAATTTATGGTTTGCGCCCACCACACGGTATCGGGCGTGAAACTGGCGTTGAATGAAAAAGTAGTTTTTATTTTAAAAATGGAGCAAGAAGAAGTCGACTGTAATGGGGATAAACGAAAATTTACTTGTTTCTAGTTAATTTCTCTTCTTTCTCTGTTTCTCTGCGTCTATCTTCCTGTATACTTATCTTTATTTCTCTCGGTCATGCTCTTTTTTTTTCTTTGTCTCTGTATTCTTTTTTTTGCGTCTTTACAAGTTTTTGCCACACGTTTTGTTCTGTTCAAGATTTTTTTCTCCAAGAATGTAACCACACATCTCTATTCGCAGAGCATGGTATCTACTAAATTTTTTACAATACCAGTGACATTTTTCAGCGAACACTTTTTTTTCTTCCATTTTCATGCAGCAACACTTCCTGAAAAAGGGGAAGTGATCGGAGTTAAGATTTAAAAGAACCAAGAGCTAGCAACATTTTGAAGTAAAAGAATGTGTCACGACTGTTATACACTTTTGCGCATTAGGTGTCACTCTTACGAAATCGCACTCGCCGACATTGAAGACGCTTATTCAGGTTACCGTCTGTAGACATCCTACGATAATTGAGGAGGTTCAAGTGGAGAGAGGTAATAGAAGCGAGCCAAGATTCAAGGCTGTTTTACGTAGTTGTTCAGTGACGCTAAAGAGTAAATACCTTGAGGTGAAGCTATGCCTCTTATTTCGGCCTCATCAAACCAGTGATCCATCATACTTTCGGCTTATAATTGCAATAACTAGCCCGAATTTTTCTTGGTGAATTGAATTCTTTACTTATGTGAAGCCGTTTTCAGTGCCGCATAGATAGTAGCATGTCCAAACCTTATTTTGTTGTTATATCAAAGATGTACAATTAAATCTTTGGTTTTACTAGCAAAAATCACTATATGATTCTCAGAAACACCGTTATGGGGGGCTCCAGAAATTTTTCAAGACCTTGGCTTGACCAGCGCACATCTGTATCAAAACGCATAGTCACTTTTGCACTTCGCTAACCCCCGTCCCTTCATATATATTTCGTCTGCCTTGACGAAGAATCAAACCCACCTTGTCTAGGTATGCTGCGCAACACTTCAGCTGCTCCGCATCTATGGAAGACATACTGGCAATAAAAGCAGCTTCCGGTTACGGCCGCCATACGTAACGTCACCGCTCCTTTTTCTAAAGCTTGACTCAATGTTTTATTCACCCAAGCATGTACATTTTTGTTATGGTGGTGTAGGCAAATATCATTATATGCCTGTGGATAGATTATCTGCCTGTGGATAGACACAAAGAGATCAATCCCACCAGGTGAAGTGCACAGGTATCCCTGACCCACAGAATATGTGTAAACATGCTATGGTACATGAAAAGAATGAGTAAAAACAGAATGGATTCAACCAGTTGCCTTCTCAACAAGTTTCAACCGTGCGTACAGTTATGAACAACACTCGTTCATTGATGAATTCTGCGCACCGGATAAGCTATTTCAGCTCAATGTCGTTGGTAGCGTTGTAGGCAATGTGTACAGGGCGTCTCTTGACGATTAGCTTCCTTCGGGCATCTCTTGTTGCCAGTGAATGCAGCAGTCTATCCCAGAAATGGGGTTCGCCCCAAGGCAGGTAGTTCGCCGACCGCACGTACAGCTGCAGGTCTTCATCGAGTTCACAGGGACCTAGTTCATCCACCAAGACAATGACCAGCCGGTTTATGTTGTCCTGGAGAGCGCGCTGGTGGGCCATCCGGAACTCGAAGCGGCACCACTCACTCGCCAGAAAGTTCCTGCGCCGTAATTCCGTAACTGTGAGTTTGTTCTGACAACTTCTGAGGACTAAATTATCAGCCACAAGCACATATAAGCACCAATGCAGCATGTCCGAGATGAAGAAACAGTGCCAGTCTTGGTTATTTATGCAAGCACGAAAAAGCAATAGACGATCCACGTTTACACGCTAGACACCTTTTTAAACTCATTGACAAAGCGTCACCTTTCAAAGTAGGAAAACAATAGCCAGGGGAGAGGGAGGCGTTGTTGCAGCCATAACAACAGTAATAAACGCGAATTAGTGATTTCATGTAATTGCAATGACTTTGCTTAGTCAGTGAACAAAATGAAAGAGATATGCAAGACATTTCAGGAAAATATTACTCTGTACTTGCTCGTACAATGGGCACAGTCAAAGTTCAACTGGTAATAAAATAAAGTTTGCTTCTGTAGTAATACATGTCTACACCCATACATATACAAAAAACACGGTACGCGTCAGACTTTTTATCATGGATCTGGTATACATACAAAATAACAATGAGGAAAGCCTAGGTAATAGACTTGGAGAATAGACGGGTTTTACGTAGGCGCTGCTCTTCGGCTCCTCCTGTGTGCCCTGTAATGAACACGAAGGGTAGACTACCAACACAAAGTGAGCGAAGGAACGAACGGATGACGGATGATGCATGTCGCACACCTCGCTTCGTCCCAAGTTGAGGCGGACAGGCTCAGCCTATCTGTCACCTCGTGAGCCTTCTTCGAGCAGACTTGTCTTTGCCATGGAAGGTAAACGAAAACTGGAATGGTGTTTTTCAGTTGCTGCATGCGAGGAAGACAAGACTACTTGTCGAAAAGTTGGCTTCAGTGATGATACCATTTAAGCGATATTTCATCTCTTCAATCTTCACTCTTCCTTCAAGATGTTGTAGTATTGCATTTATTATCGCATGTTTATTGCTCATTTATTATATGACGTCTGAATGCACTGAGACCAACCTTTCGTTAACTTCCTGCTTGCGAGTAACAGGTGTCCCACCACGTGCAAGACCGATGTGCAGATAGCACGTAAAGGCAGCTCGTGACAGGTGTGTCCACGAATTGGTCACGCTGACCTCCACTTGCTGGACGACGCCAGCATTATCTCAGGTATTCCTCGAAACACGTCTGTACAAGGACCTACAGAAACTATCAAGGCGTTTTCATAGGAGGGAAAAAAAACAACAACGAAAACGTCATGTAGGGTCACGCGTGCGAGTACAAAGGCTGACTTCACAGCCTCGAAAGAGCGTTTTCGCGAGGTCATGCATTTTCAAAGTGCACTCGTGGAACCCCCTTTGTTCTGCAAATGCACCCCGATGGGGGACTGGTACTTGCTGTTGAACTGCCAGAGGAGCATTGTAAACACGAAGCGATTGACTCAAGGATAAAATTTTGTTTATTATCGAATAGATGGCAGACAACCGGCGCGGCTTTCTGAAGTACGCTCAGCTAGCAGTGTGTGGTAAGAGTTCAGTGTGAAGCGAAAAAGAGTATCCGTACGAGGCACTGAACATAACCAGAGTTAATTCCTGTTCACAAATGTGCTGATCAATCGAGTTACTGGGTGATACACGCCCAAGAAAGTACTACAGTGCGTTGGACTTTTGTTTTTTTTTCACTAAAAATAGGCCTATGTACAGTGTGGCGCAGAGTCAACACACACATTTCAAATTGTTGATAGAATCACTGATGGCGATGGTAAACGACACAATCGATCTTATTAATAGACACCAAAGTTTTCCCTGCTTCCATATATAATATATGCTTACTTAAAATGTTACCTCAATGAAAACGAACAGGTGAAACCAAGGTATGTAGAATGGGTTTGAATTGTACAGCTTTCCCTGTATTCTAGTCATCGCGATCCAAATGTGACAACAGTAAACAGGATGACGGAATAAATTAATAAAGTGTTATTTTAAAATTCGTCTGGCTGTTTTCTACGGAAGGAAAGCTTTTAATAGTGTTTTCGTACATTATATTTTTTTCACGTATATATCACAATCACTGCAACGCAGTTGAAAAAGTATGTTTTACGTCCTCTTTATCTTCCGTGGCTTATTATCTGGTGGTTTTCAATAATGTTCTCTAAACGAAAGAAATATGATACATGTTAGTTGGCTACGTACATACCATCCCGTATTTAGGCTGCTGCCGTTATTCTGTCTCTTAGAGGATGCACCATCAAGAGGCGTGTACACAGATGTCGAGTTTGTGTTGCACAGTGGTATATTTTGTGCGGATTGCCTCGCCTGTGGACTGTTAGAAACATTCAACCTTGTGTTGTGGGAATGTGAAGCCATCGGTCCCGCCCTCAGCGAGGACAGGTGGGCTGCGCTCTTACGCAGCCCCGAACTTAAGGATCACACCCTGGCCGTCCAGAGTGCCCATGAATGGGCCGCCAAGCTCGGCTTGACGGTCCCTACGTGGGATTAGCCGGCTGGCGCAGGGTCTACCCTGCGTGTTCTCAGCCCCCAAAATAAAGTTGTAATCAATCAATCAATATATTTTGTCTATTTGAGCAGTGCTGATGGAAATGCACGGCAGCCAGCAGAGGCGACAAGGATTTATAGCAAATATATTTTATGCGAAACAGCTCCATACTGTCTCTTAGGATAAATGTAGCCAGTCTGACTCCCTGTCCTGTTTTCTTTCGTTTTTCTTCGTCCTTCTCAGTTCCAGCACAAACATTACGTTATGCAAAAGTACTTCGTCCAGGACAGGACGAATCGTCTGCTAGCGTCCCTATCAAAACGCCGAAAATTAAAACGCTGACCTATTTGAAGGCTGAATGTCAGAACGACGAACGATTGAAAGACCGAAAGCTGAAGATGCCGAAAATTTCAAATACCAAAAAATCAGAACACTAAATGTTAAAATGCCGAAACATGAAGATACCATCGCATAGCTGTGGTAGAAAATAAAGTATATTGGCAACGTAAAGGTTCCGTCACCCTCTTTTCCAATAACCATATTCTGTTGGCGAAAATCTGCGCAGAAGTGACGAAACATCAGTTGCCCAAGATCTTTTGGCAGCTGTGCTGCCCAATTGGGACATTGTGGACGTTCTAAGCTTCCTGCGAGGCATTGTACACAATTGATCTGTATAAAATTTAATGAACAAGGGAATATATTTTTCTCGTTTTCAAGGCTTGACCCACATGCGAAAGGAATTCGATGCTGCAGAAGCCACGGCTGTTATTTTTGCCACCACAGCAAGTCCCTGCGCCGCTGAATACAACAATTAGGCACGGTCAGGGAATAACTACATTGATAACAATCATCTCCGAACACCGAGCATTTCTGGGCAAGCTGCTAGGGTGACCCTGCTTTGAGAAAGTGTTCATCCAAACGCTGCTTTGTGTCTGGGGCGCACACACAGCATTCCTCTTCATTGTCGCGGGGCACATGATTGATGATTGATTTGTGGGGTTTAACGTCCCAAAACCACCATATGATTATGACGGACGCCGTAGTGGAGGGCTCCGGAAATTTCGACCACCTGGGGATCTTTAACGTGCACCCAAATCTGAGCACACGGGCCTACAACAATTCCGCCTCCATCGGAAATGCAGCCGCCGCAGCTGGGATTCGATCCCGCGACCTGCGGGTCAGCAGCCGAGTACCTTAGCCACTAGACCACCGCGGCGGGGCGTGGTGGGGCGCACGCTCGACAGATAACTTGAAAGTGCAAGAACGGGAAGAAATAAACCATTACTATCCTCCCCCACCTCTCCCGTCCTGCAAAAAAAAAAAAAAAGAAAGCTCTTCCAAGCACAGTCAGTGCGGCTATTTATTTTCTCTGCGGCGCACGAATACATCCATATGAGTGGTTGGTGATAGGGTGTAGTATCGCTGAGCATAGGTGGCACAAGGTGGAGCCACGTCGCACCTGTTGAATTTGGCGCGACTTTAAAATACACACAGAAAGCACACACAACAGTTTTTGTGCCTGTAAAATGAGAACCACTGAAATGAGCTACCATAACAATCAGGAAAGAAAAAGAAAGGAAATGTTGCGGAAATAATTTCAATAATTGAGTTTTTGTCTTGAGGAAACAACAAAAAAGAGCGACACTACAAAAGTACAATATTTTTTATATTTGCCTCTGGTTTGTAAAAAATAAAAATTAAAGCCTGAGTAAAAAATCTGTTTGCAACATTTCCTTCATACACTAAAGAGGAATACAGTGGTGAAAACCTCGTATAAATCTTACTAAATTTGAACGAGCTAGAATTTCAAAAATATTCTCTATGGGCGCTCACACTGGTGAGCCCTCCAAAACACAGATTCCTAGATTGTAACGAAGGTAACTGGGACCACTTCGTGCATACGCGCTGTCACTTTTTGTTGTTGCTGGTTTTAAAACCTCCCGCAAGCGGCAATATTGGAGCGATGAATCTCTCGGCACCACGACAGAACCCGCTGCTAAGACCTGCTGGGCATAAAGTGTTTCCTTATCTTGACATAATCGCAGCCGATGTATTCACCGCGAGTTGCTTTTCTTGCGTGACCAAACAAGTAATAGTGGCCCCCATATGACGACTGTTCTCATCGCTATCCCAAATGAGTAAAAATAAAGCAATGAACCACCTCGGATGACCGCAAGTGCACTACTACTACTACTACTACTACTACTACTACTACTAATTAATAATATTATAATAATAATAATATAATAATTTTGCCATAAAGTACACTTGGATTTTATTCCTACTAGGACTTACGTTCTAAAGTAAGAATATTATGAGGCTTCTATGCATCCCCACATGCACATTACAGGGAAGTATGTGCCATTACTTGCCGAGCCAGCAGCATTATTTACCGTACTCTGCAGCCTCGAATATTCTGGCTGCTTCAGTTTCTCTACAAATGATACTATAACCTTCAAGATTATCATTCTAAGTGTTTTTTTTTTTCAGACCTGCGCCGTTCCACAGGACATTAGTTGAATTTGACGAAACATTTCCTCCAAAGTATGATACGGCCGACCGGATACATAAACGGCTCGAGAAATGGCCACCTTCAAAGCCGCTGAATCCGGTTGTTAGGAAAAGAAGTACAGGAGTGACCAACTACTAAATGTCAATAAATTGTGTATTTTTCACTCGAATTGTCATGACTTACACCACTATTCCAGTCAGTCATGAGAGCTATCATGTAAGCACCATACAGTCAACTTATCGAACATATTTCTGCAGCGGTCATGCCGACTGACTCAATGTATGTTTACATTGCTCTAGCGATGCCAAAGCAATTTTGATGCGCAATTCTGTAGTATACACCTGCGCCCGACTACGTATGCCGTCGCCGCTTAGTGCGGACTCCATTCCGCTCACGCTGAGCAGCTTGTCCGGCCACCTCATCCAAACCAAATTCACCATCCCAGCCCGTGTGTTATTAGATGACAGGAGAAGGTGCTTCCCAGAATGTCCAAAACTGTCGTGTTGTTCAACAGCTTTACGCCTCCTTTTACACGAGCAGTGTCCTCTACAGGCTCTTTCCAGTTTTCGCCGTTTCCGTACAATGCCCAGCCCACATGGTTATCCGTCGAACAGAATGAAGAGTTGCCTAAGTGGACGCCAAATGAACAGTAGGTGGCAACACTATGCACGAATGATGCTACTTTGGACACGCGAGGCAAACATGCAGTTACGTGATACTCAATAAAATATTATCGCGAAACTTCTGATATCTTTGAATATGTAGCAACAAAATAAATCTGCAGAACTTAACAACACAGTTTGTCTTCATATTCGGTGTCCTTTTAACACCCAATGGTGTCGCACCAGAATATGTCAAGCTTCGTACAAAAATTACGTTGCTGAATACCAGTGTGGTAAAAAACGCTGCCCTGGAGAGTGTGCGTCATGTTTTGACGTAGAAAATCGGTGTGCGGGGCCGATTTAGTATTTCAAAGTGCGCGGGAATCATTATGATGGTGATAGCGGCAAAACTATGAGCGCGCCTATGCGCGTGCTCGTGCGCGCACCACGTGGAAAAGCTCCCGAGCGACGGGGACAGCTAGGCTGACCCCAGAGAGCAGAACGCAAGGAAAGGTTCGGGCCACGCCCCGGCTGCTCGTTCTGACCCTCCGTGTCCGGGCCTCGTCCCGGCGTTGAAGTCCTCAGGTGCGTCCTGGACTGGGCATCGCCCCACCTCGCCAGAGAGCAGAACGCAAGGAAAGGTTCGGGCCACGCCCCGGCTGCTCGTTCTGGCCCTCCGTGTCCGGGCCTCGTCCCGGCGTTGAAGTCCTCAGGTGCGTCCTGGACTGGGCATCGCCCCACCTCGCCAGAGAGCAGAGAGCAAGGGCAGGTTCGGGCCACGTCCCGGCTGCTCGTTCCGACCCTCCGTGTCCGGGCCTCGTCCCGGCGTTGAAGTCCTCGGCTGCGTCCTGGACTGGGCATCGCCCCACCTCGCACCCACGTTGGTCTGAAGCGGCGTTCGTCACGGCCAGCTGCTGTTCTGGTCTCGGAGGGAGACGCTGTCCCAGCTCTGTTCGCGGCAGTCGGCGGTACGCTGTTCTCGGTGGCAAGCCCAGGCGTTGACCACCGTACTGGGATGGCCCTGGCGGTTATCTTCAAGACCGGGCCCCGCCTCGGTACGAACTCCGCAAGCACAAGGCACACCGCCTCCTGACTACCAGAGAGCTCAAGGTCAAGCGCAACGTTCACGCCCCAATAGTAGAATGTGAGTGGACGAACAAGAACATTAACTTCCTTTCGCGTAGGACCGTGAACGCGTGTATATATGTGTGAGTTTATGTTGTGTGTATCCCTTTGTCCGTCTTCGTGTATATAAAAGTCTCTCGTTGTCCTCGAACGTCCTCTGTCCTCATCTGGCTAACCTGCGCCCACAGTTTCCCCCACAACCAGCATGGAAACTGCCTTTTCTCTATTGGAGCTCTGTTCTTTACGCTCAATAACATAATTCTAAGAAAAATCCAACCATCAAACATTTCATTAAATGTCGTAGGATGGGAAAAAAAGCTGATGGAAACCCCACTTTACAATTTAGGCTATACTCTTTGATCTGTGGCCTTTTTTTGGGCTACTGGAACAGCATTGTTGTATTCAAAGCTACAGCGGAAGAAAAAAAAACGACTTCCATGCTAATTTTATGTATCATTCTCGCTTTCACAATAGCGACAAAGTTTAGCTCTTGAATGTTTGAAATATCTGTCAAAATTTGCGACAAACTAAAAAGACGTAAGTTCATTATCTGCCACAAAAAATATTACCACACTAACACTTTCCTTCCTTTCCTAAAGTAATTTAATGGTTTCCATTTTTTTGCTTTCATTATCTATTGATTCACGGGCGATCAAACGTGTTTCGCAGAGCGAATGTCAATTAGAATCGACCATGCAACTATGAATATGCATACAGCACATAATGTGCAATGTAAGGATACATACACATCACTGTAGAAATTATTGCCAACATTCTCTCATTCGGCCTACGTCACCATTAAAAATGGTATAGACTACTAGCACAAACACCTGCGATCTACGTCAGGTTCCCAATGACATCAATTGTAGTTGTTTAATCGGTAACTATATCATTTAATTTTAGCACGAACTAGGATGCTCAGACGCCAAAAGGTGGTTACGCAAAGGCCTGTGTTTGTGTTGACTGTGTTCTTTTTTTTTTCTTTCGTATACGGGGCTCAATGCTCTACATTCATTTACGATCTTACAATTAAGCATTTCGCTGATTAGACAAGTGTACCCATTAGGATCTTCCCTAATTAGAATCCTGTATGAAAACCACTACTCACTCTGTAAGGACAAGAAGTGTCCGCCGGGAGCATCCGACAGCGTCCCGAATGATGTCTTGAAGAAGGTAGCCGCCCTTGAAGTTTCGCTCGTAAGTGCAGTACGACAAGCCCCTTGCCTCCAGTTCAGGAAGAATGTGATCGTGTATCCAGCCGGCGTCCTTGCTGCTGTACGATACGAACACGTCGAACAGCTTGTCTGTGTCGTCTTCGGTGAGGCACCGCGCAAGACCAGACATGCCATGACCCCGCATCCACGTCCTTAGCACGTTGTTGTAGCGCATATAAGTAGCCGACAGGGCCAAGAGGACTGTCAATAGACCTGTCCGCCAAGAAATAGAAGACACACCAAGTTGCTGCCCATCAGTATACGTAGATGCTTATTACTTGCTTCCAATATTACACAGACAATATCGGTCAAAACTTGACGAAGCTGGGCACTCTCAGTTTGCCTGAATTGATGTAACCAGAACGGTCTCTTAGTAAAACTTTAAAGGACAGCACTACACAGTTACCCTTCCCTGCTCTCCGAAACCCACACTAACGCACGCGCCTACCCATTTTATGTTGGCCTGCATTCGAAGTTTACGCTTGCAATAAAGAAGTCATCCTGAATGCTCAGCAGGGCAGTGAAAAGAAAATAACTATTAAAACATAGCCCCATAATTAATCTTTGCGAATGTCGATCATTTTTTCCAGAAACAATTACATTACAGTGGCGTATTACACCGGGTAGTGATGGTAGACAGCCCAACATTATCCATCTATATTTATTGAAACCCTGAGCACCGACAGACAGACCAACGATGGTGCGAACTTTTTTTTTTCAATCCTATGCTTGTTTGATATGCAGCTGTAGTTCCTGCACTCTCTCGTATTGTATTTCCCAGCTTTACATAACCCGGGGCTTTAATCAAGGAGCGTGAATTACATATCCGAGCTACACTGGCACTGTTGTGTTCTCTAGCGTCATCCACACTCTGCCAATGGAAGGCTGCGCACGTCTATAGTTACACACTCTATGCCCATGAGTCCGATTTCTCGCCCAGATTCGCGAAGAATATTGCACCGTATTAGCGATTTCTTAACTACTCCTGCTTCATAATAAAACGCTACAGAAGATAACAATAAATGGTCTCGATTGCGTGAGCATGTTAGTGGTCAGCCCTCCAATAAATCTAAGCAACCTGAAGTGTTCATTCGACATCATAAAACAACTTAATGTAATCAGTAAGGCCCCTTTACTCATCACGCGTGTGCACAACACTTGAAATTTCAAATGCTCACTAATTATACATACCAAATGCTACCAGGACGTACACCACTTCTCGTGGTATCGCTGCTGGACAGAGGTCATTCTGCCCCAGGGCGATGAATCGTTTCCGTGACACAAGTAGATTGGAACTTCTTCCGCACATGATGTCCTTGGAATCCCGAACCTATCCATGGTAAACAATGCACAGTAACCACAACATAAATCTAATTGCATAAATCAGAGAACAAGAATATTTGACGCCAACGATCATTTGACGCTTTTTAAGCGTCACCCGTGTGCCGCGCCTTCGGGGTCAGCACTGCTTTGACCAAGCGATGATGTCATGTGATGATGCCTTCATGTGACATCATGATGACGTCGCAAATTATGGCACCTTCTAGTGTCATCGTGTGACGCCACAAGGCTCGATGACGCCAAAGAGCACGTTGTGACTTCATCAGAGGAGGTCACAACAAGGCAAGATTTTGAATCACTTGAGCGGACGCCGACGATCGCATTTAGTGCTTTATGAGGCATGCAAGGCTTCCACCCCAACAAATATAAATAGCTTTTCAAACGACTGTGGCGATCCCACTAATACCGCTACCTCAGTAGCAAAATAATTCTAACTAAACTTAAACTAACCCGTCCGGCTAAAAATCTGCTGCGGCTTTAGCTCAGAAGATGCGCGGTCATTTCACGGTAATGTTGGCTGCATGTATAAGAAGGGCAACCCTTTCTCACCCGCCCCCTCACCGCTGTGTACTTGGCTTTAGGTGGACGCTTAAGGCCCGCAGGCTCTCATACAGAAAGTGTTCAGACACAACGACGAGCCTTTTCAGCACGTATTGTTTCTCGCTCGTCAAAGCGCACTGTTTTATTTTCAGGTTCCCTTTATGTCAGTGATCTCATCGGCGCGAAGAATAAAAAAAAAGCCCAATATCAAGCGTTTGCGGAAATACCCTAAAAAAATCAGAGAATCCCTGTCAGTCGTTTACTATGTTTAGGGATGGAGAATCTTTGTCACTTGTCACAAAATCTCTGTCACTACTTTTACTTGAAAAACTTTCCGCGATTATCCTTCAAATCATGATAAGCGAATTTGCTGAGAGAATACGCAAAATGTTATCCAGTTAGCATTATTCTACAAAGCAACTAATCACTAAATTGGTGCGCTTACCACGTTTCCGTGAGCTTGTAGCCATCTCCTAAAGTGGTAGTCATCGCAATCGCAGGTGTAAGGGTTGCCAGATAACCAAATGGACGTAAGGTTGAGTTGCGTGACCAAAAAGAGTGGCAACCGCTTGAGCTTGTTGCCACGCAAATCGAGATGATTCATTGTTAGCGGTATAGACGTGACGTTGATACTGATCAAGGCATTGTCTTTCAGTACGAGGACTTCAAGATGGGGCGCCGCTGTCTTGATAACGTCATCCAGAAGGCGCAGTCCATTTCCGCTCAGGTCTAACTGCGTCGTACTTTCCGGAAGTACTCTGGGGATCCTGCCGGCAGTGGCCGACGAACAGTTCACAGTGATGTGTCGTTCTGTGTGCGCTCCCACGTTGCAGTGACATTGACATCCAGGTTCGCACTTATCTTCCACCCTGAGTAAATCTTCGTGTGGCAAAAGGCTCAGTTGTTCTCCTTTTAGCCAGAACGGTTTTGCACACCTCGCGATTCCTCTCACCTGAATGCTGCTCTCCTCTTGCATGAGCCAAGCCAAGCGGCAGTCGCAGGATCAAAGGGTTATCTAAATGAAGAAAAACAAGGAGCGAATGAGAAGTCTGGCGGAACATTTCTCCAATCAGGCGTCCATTGCAAAGCAAACGCCACTTAGTGGTTGGTGATTTAAATGCGATACTGGGAAACTTGGTGATGCTGACGGTGAGGTCGAGAACGTAGGGTGTCGAAGGCGACTATACCCAGTATACAGTTGTTCAGTGTGTGGTTCTCAGCCGCATCAGCAGAGCGCTGCAATCCTTCGTGTCGCAGTTAGGCAAGCCTCAGCCACTTCTCGCTGCGCGGCACGTGAACTCGCTCACTCATCGCCAGCAGCGCTCCACTGACCTCAACAAGAACCATGGACTGAACAGTGGTCTACCGTATGCAGTGTGTAGTCACTCCGTGTCTTGAACGCTCTCAGTTGTCATCGTCAACTTCACCAGCCTTAAGCGATTCGCGGCGAGTATATAGCGTTCCAATCGACTGACCATTGCACCTATGAACTTGGTACGAACGTTTAAACCGAGCACTATGCTTTTTCTTGTAGTTGGCAAGTTTCTGTGGTAGGTTACTCAATTTTGATTGAGCCTATGCCATTTTCAACAAAGGTGAATTATTTGGGAATCGCTAGATGCCGACATCGCTCACGCATTCACAGTAACTTCAGGGCAGTGTCAATGCGTATAATTGTAATTGATGCGGCAGGCTCTTATTGCTAGGTTTAGAACAAATCAAACCCCTTACCGTTCATTTCTGCCTCCGCGGTGTAGGGCGTCCCGGCATTTTTGAGATAATGTACGCTATACATCGTACACAAAGGAGTAACAGACGGTGTTCATAGCTGCGACATATTGTTTTTTTTCTTTGTGCGCCTTGACGCTTGTGTCTGCACGTGACAGGCGTTCTTTTTAACTAGCCGTGAAGCGCTAGGTGAATCTAATCTTTCAGCGCACTTGAATCTGGTAACTTTTAACCAACAATATTTACGTGACGCGTTGACTGCTATTAATCAAGTTTACGTAGATGGAAGACCGCATAAATTAGAAGAGGGAATGCAATGCAGCAGAGCATACCTCCGAAGCAGTGAACTCGTCAGTGCTGATAATTGTTCAATGTGGTCATACATGCAATATTCATTAGAGCAATAAATGTAAAGAAAACAGAGACGTAACCCTCAATGAGTACGACTGCAGGGGGCGATGATATCCGGTGAAAAGTCACTTCTTCGGAGCAGCTCCAGTTGATTTGCAGCAAGGTTCAAGTGCGCCAGGCTGAATGCTCCTATAAAAGCGCCTTCCACATCACTGATGTTGTTGCCGCTAGGGAAATGGTCGTCAACTCTAGATTGTTCAGAAATCACCGGCTTCCAATCTCAATATCGCGTTTTGCGACGCACCAAGATAATGCAATTTAGGCAGATTACTCGCAGAACCATTCAGGGAAATGATTTTATTTTTGTGTAGGTGCAGCACCCTTAATCTGAGCAGTCCCTTGAATGCGCTCTTTCCAATCCAGGCGATATGATTTGAAGTAAAGTCGATGTGCACTAGGTCAAAGTTGTCTTGAAAGGCACCATCTGGAATGCTGGAAATTAAATTGTACCTCATATAGAGTTCCCGGAGCTGAGTCAGGCCGTTGAAAGTGAGGCTAATATCCACAATGCGATTGAAAGACAGCTTGATTATTTTAATCTTCTGCGTACTGTTGAACAGCATCGAAGCCGAGGTTAACTTGTTGATAGACAGATTTATCTCTTGAAGAACCGAATTACGCGCAAAGAGGGAGTCACTTAGCTTCGCAATACTATTATTGCTCAGGTCAAGGGTGGTCAACTTTTTGAGTTGCTGGAAAGCTCCGGCGGTTACGTTTGTCAGGAAGTTCTCTCTGAAGACGAGTCGCCTGAATCTGAGCATTCTGGAATCTTGTAATCTGGCTTATGCAGTTATGTTCCAGCGTGAGTTCCTTCAAGGATGACAACGTGAATCTTGCAATGCTGTCCGCCTCACAGATGTTGTTCAGGTTGAGATCAAGAACCTGAAAGAGAAGTGTGCGGGTCGGTGAGCGAATGCATAGTGAACAAAACGAACGGAAATTTTCGTTATTTCTCCTATTGTGGCACTGCTCACGACAAGCGTTTGTGCAAACTTTCTAGTTGTAACGTTTGAAGTAAACTGGCTTCATAAATGAACAGGAGCATAATTTGTGTCAGTGAGTCAAAAGTGTGTGTGTGTGTGTGTGTGTGTGTGTGTGTGTGTGCGTGTGTGTGTGTGTGTGTGTGTTCGCGTGTGTGTGTTCGTGTGTGTGTGTGTGTGTGTTCGCGTGTGTGTGTTCGTGTGTGTGTGTGTGTGTATGTGTGTGTGTGTATGTGTGTGTGTGTATGTGTGTGTGTGTGTGTGTGTGTGTGTGTGTGTGTGTGTGTGTGTGTGTGTGTGTGTGTGTGTGTGTGTGTGTGTGTGTGTGTGTGTGTGTGTGTGATCACTGTCGCACAAAATAAGAAAAAAAGCTCAATTTGAAGGACAAGTGAGGCTAGAGCCTGGGTCTGCTGCGTGCCAGCACAGTATGATACCACTGAGCCACGCCGATTTTTTTTTTATATTGAGCCATGCCGATTCTTGAGGCTTGTTCGCAAACTTGCCTTAGACAGGCTTGATGTCGGGTAAGGAATCACGTTAGTATGAGTAAAAAGCGTTTTACAACAGCAAAACAACCACCTGGCGTCACACAATGCAAATAGCGTAACAGGCGGATCGTCCAATGCTCCAAGCTATAGCTATATACAACCCACTAAAACGCCAGGCCTGTGCGGAAGGCGCAGCACAGTCACAGTGAAAGCTAGAAGAGCGGCCTTTCAGAGCCCGTTCAAAAAACTCATTGTGTAACTACTGCAAGCACACTTTCTTGATACCCACGGGGTCATTATTAATAATTTTTGGGTAGTGGGCCGGCATTCCCTATGCTATTTTTAGTCATTGTTTTGGGAAGAGTGGTGTCCGCTAAACATTTGCAAGGAATTTTGTGTCAATTGTTCATGGAGTGACTGACGACGATTAGGAATAATGGCTTAAGTTGGTATGCGCCACAGTTAATAGTGGAAAAAGAACAAGCTTATGTGATAGATTGGAGCATTGGATGGCCCACTCGTTACACTATTCGCATTGTGCGCCAACTGGTTGTTCTTTCACTGTTTTAAAACGCTTTATAAGTCGTATTCACGCGATTGCTTTCTTCACTCAAGCCTGCCTAAGGCAAGTTTGACAACAAATTACAAGTACTGGTGTAGCTCCGGGGTATATTACTGTGCTGGCACCCAGTGGACCAGAGTTCAAACTCCACTTTTTCATTGGTGCTAGGTCAAGTTTGCCTAAGGCAAATGTGACAACAAGTTAAAAGCACCGGCGTCACTCGGTGGTAGAATACTGGGCTGGCACCCAGCGGACCAGGGTTCAAGCCTCACTGTGTCAATGGTGCAAGGTTTTTTTTTTCTAATTTCGCGCTATGTGGTTACGGACACCGGCGGCAGCAGTGGACAACTGCGCGTGACCCGAGTTGTAATCTTATGCAAGCTTTCGCTGTAGAAAGATTGTTCTTGACCACCTATTAACTGTGGTGCATACCCACTTTAGGCAAAGTTCCTCATCGTCGTCAGCCACTCCACGAACAATTGGCACAAAATTCTTTAAGAGTTTAGTCGACGCCACGCTTCTCAGAAGAATGACGATGGATAGCATATTGAATGCTGGCCAACTGCACAGAAGTTATTATTTTTATTAATGTAGTAGTGGGTACCAGCAAGTATGCTTGCAGCAATTATCCAATGAGTATTTATAAAAGTCTCTGGAAGACCGCTCTTCAAGCTTTAGCTGTGACTGCTGCGCCTTCTGCGCATGCCTGGCGTTTTTTTTCGTCGTTGTTGCTTTTTTTTCTGCAATAAAAATAGACATGTAGGGTGCCTCATTGACTGTGTAAGTTCTGAAAGCCTCTAGCATGAAACAAGCAAAAAAATAACTGAACCCCACCGCGGTGGTCCAGTGGCTAAGGTACTCGGCTGCTGACCCGTAGGCCACGGGATCGAGCCCCTGCTGTAGGTTCGTGTGCTCAGATTTAGGTGCACGTTAAAGAACTCAAGGGATCAATCAATCAATATACTGAGGTGCAGACAGTTGGTGGTGCGAACACGTGTCGAAAAAAAAAAAAACACGGTACAGCCGTCACATCGGGTGAACGTCATTTGTTGTTAAGTGCCATCAACAGATCTTGATTTATGGAGCCATGCCCAGAATTACGTTCCTCGTGAACCCAAGCGCTACTTATCGGCTCACCGCTTCTGGTGTTGCAAATGACCATGTTGTTGATGGAATCGTTACGCCATAGAGTTTCCTAATATGCACTAGAGGGAACTCTGGCGCTAGTGTCTACGGGAGCTGCAAGGCACGGCGTTTCAGCGAGCATGAAAATGATCGGTAGTATACACATTTGTCTAATATTCGTACTTCTGACCTTCTTTTGGCTCCGTGTGTGTTCGTGTGGCTTGGAACTGTGTTCTTACGAAACAAATATTAGCAAATGTACAGCACTAGCGCTTCATCATCTTATTCTCTCAAACTTACCTTTCCTAATTGGGTCACGAAGTTCAAACCAGTTGAATCTTTCTTTCAAAACAAAACCCAAACACAGCAATAAACGAAGCCGCGAGTACGATTCGCTGCCCGCAAGTACGAAGACTAGGCAAATGTGTGTGCTACCCATCATTCCCATGGTCGCTGAACAATCGCAGTGCCAGAGTCCCCTCTAGTTAATTTTAGGAAACTCTATGCGTTACGCAACAATAAGAAACTGGTTATATGAAACATCTGCGACTACTCAACATATGTGTGGGCGTACAACATTTCTGCATATCTTTAGTGCCATTTCGTAATGTTTCGCTCAATCGAAAAATGTTCTTCAGTCTTCTTCCTTCCGCATTCTTCGCACAGCACTGATTCCCAAGGTACGTGGCATCTGCCTGAATTTTTGCTTAAGTCACAATGTTGCGATTGGTTTCTCACACGAAGAGCTTGAATTCTCCTTTTATTCATCGGTACCCAACTGCAATAATTGATAATTAGTTCAACTTAATTACTTACCCTCCAATATTTTTAACTTTCCAATTACTGCATAAGTCTTTAGTGCAATATATTAGCAATAAACATAAAAAAACACCAACGGTCACTCACCTCCAAACCGCTCAGATGATCGAACACTCCTTCCACCGAATGAATGTGGTTATTATTCAGTTTCACAAGCACGAGAGATTTTGCTTGCCTGAAAAGCTTTGGCGATAAATTGTGGATGCTGTTTTGCGATAAAACCAGATAGCGCAGCTTCGGTAAGCCAGTTAGATATTCCTCTTCTAAAGTCTCTATTTTGTTGCGGCTGAGATCTAGACGGACCAATTTCGGAAGATCGAGCATTCCCTGAAGACGTTTGATGAGATTCCTTCGCACTAGGAGCGTAACAAGAGCTCTTGCAGCGTTCACAGCAATAGGGACACCTTGCAGCTTATTTCCATCCAGTTGTATTCCACTTAGATTTTTGATGCAGCACATGTCGGCATCGGAAATCTCACGTAAGCCGCATTCAATGACACGCAACCTGGCAATTGTGTGGTTTTTAAACCAAGAATCCGGAAATTTTGGCATACTAATTTCGATCAAGGAAAGCCTCACTATAAAAAGTCCTTGCAGCTTTGCCATGTCCAGGTTAAATTCATCTGGAGACGATGATGTGCATTTGACGGTGAGGCCATCTATCCTTCGCAAACAGGAACAGCGTTTAAGGACTGGACAGGTGTAGTTCCTTCTTCTTCTTTTTCTTAGTGCTTCCGATAAACATATTATCAATGCAATTATTATCACTAAAGTCAGCTTACGCCGGTCGTCAGACCTTTTTGATGACCACGGATGCATTTTTCGTCGAACTCTTGTCGTCTGCTTGCTCCTGCATGACCTTGAAGTAATAATGCAGTATGCTTACCCTTCCATTTGATACGAAGGGCGTGATGATCGCACAGCCAGCGTGGCGTTGAACAGACCAGCAATTCCAGACGTCGACTGCATATTTCTCGGATTACGAAATCACAAATGACCTATCGTACACCCAAAGCAAATCTGATCATTTCACCAACGTAGCCCGGTATTTCATGATCAAGGCACATGCTAGAACTTTTAGCAGAGGTCTTCTATGGTTTGGACGTGACGAATTCTTCACTAGTCTTTGAAAGCAGCACAGCAAAGCACATCTCTATGCAACACGGCTCTTCGATCACTTGAAGGGCACAGTGTTGTAGCACCAAATATCAACGTGCCGATCCGACCAGTTGGTAGGAGCCAAAGATTCCGGATCCTCGACAGGAGTTTTTTCGTCTTGTTTCGGGTGCAAGCTCCTCGCACCGGCATCGACAACTACAGAAACATGTTCCTGAGAAAACAGTCCAAAGACTTCACGTCACTCTGACGGAGCCTGTTCGAATGCTTACGTTTATATCAGGGAGAGGAATATGTGGAAAGAGAAACATCCTGCGGAAGTCTTCGAGAATCGAGCACTCTTTGCTTGTTCGGCTCGTGACGAGCCACAAACCACCTTATCTCATCGCTTTCTGCAATTGGCAAGGAAATTTACTTCAAACGAATTGTATGAGAGGGTGATTCCACCTCGCTGCTGAGAGACGCAAGAAACGTCAGAAAAACACGTGCACTAATTGGGTAAGAAGAAATAACTAGCTATTTGTCAAATCTATAACAATATCTGTTCGCAAACGAAAAAGACAAAAAATCACGCCATAGACACAACTTGCACGCAAAATGTGTCTAATCAGTTTTCTGCGTGCGTTAACGTAGCACGCGGCAGTCATGTGGGTATCTGTAGCCAACTATCCCCTTCCTTAGCTCTACACTCTTAAAAAAAGTTAGTAAAAAGGTAAGAACTGCAAGCAAATAGGTAGTAACTGCAGCGGTTACTACCTTATTTGAACCGTTACTACACTTTTGTGACCTGTTTACTACCTACGTTAGTAAACAGTTACTAGCTGCTCCCGTTACTAACTTTTTGCGACCTGTTTCCTACCTACGTTAGTAAACGATTAGTAACTGGAATGAAAGAGGTAGTAACTGCAGCTATTACTACATTTATTGCCCCGTTACTACCTTTTTGCTAGCTGGATTTTGACTATTTATTCCAAAAAGTGTGTGATTCTGATTCTGAATATTTATGACAGGAACCGTCTCGACCTATTATCACTAAACAAAAAAAGTGGTGCAGAGGATATCTATAGATCAAGAAAATACATTTTGTTTTATATTACGCAACTGAGATATGTAAACGTGACTTCGATATTGTCGAAACGGAGAAGTACAAGTTAGCCTACCAGGCCAGTGTACACGCGTTGCAATAGACAATTACAACAAACTTAGTAAATTACAGCACATATTAATAAGACCGGCGGATCAAAATAACCAGATGGTTGCAATTAGCCCCGAACATGGTCACAATCCACTGCGGCGTGTCTCAAAATTATCATTGTTTTGGCGCGTCAAACACGAAAAATGAATATTACCTTGTAAACGCGGATATATTAGCCTTGTAAAGCGTTCAAATGCACTGAGGAGGAGTTCATAACCTTGTTTCAATCACTGTAAATAATGTCTTTTCGTGACCCTTTTATAATAAATAAATATGACATACAATGTTTCATTAGTAAGGCTCATTAAAAGTCGTGTGCCATGTCCCCGAACATACGTACTCAGGTAGTATAATATAGTGTTATAGGTTCAAATTTGTTAAAATTCTTCCTGAAACACAAGCTCTTCCCTGTGCCAGACATGCCCCTGCAAATTATGGGCTATATATACCCCTTGCGTACTTTATACTCCGTGTATGCTTAATAAATAGTGAACTTGTTAGGTCTCTGTATTCTTCGCGTTCATCAAACACCACGCTTCATTACCCGAAGTTGTCTATTACCGAGACATTAAATGGCGAACTTTAGCAGAGGAGAAATAATATCATAATAAACAGCGTTATTTCTTGAAGCCTTTGACAGTTACTACCCATGGGTGGTAACGACTAGGGTAGTAACAGTTACTAAATGCTGGTAGTATCAGCAAAGGTAGTAACTGTTACCACCCTCGCCATTACTAACTGCGCTTATTGCCAGGGTTGTAACATATGTGACAAACCATTACTACACCAAAGTTAGCAAGTACTACCACCTTCTTTCTAAGATTGTAGATTACATCAGCCAGTCCTTGTTCTATCTATCTATCTATCTATCTATCTATCTATCTATCTATCTATCTATCTATCTATCTATCTATCTATCTATCTATCTATCTATCTATCTATCTATCTATCTATCTATCTATCTATCTATCTATCTATCTATCTATCTATCTATTAAATTTGAAACATTTCATTGCGCACTGCAAGCACTTCTGGCGTCTATCTGTGTATCTACTTATTTATCTATGCAGCCGCTTATGTCTTGGTGCTCTCGTGATCAAACCCATAACTTGGGGTGAACCGAAATTAGTATGGACAGAGTCAGATGCTTTGAAGATAATGATGCTTTGTTTAAGACGCAGGTTTGTTTGTTTGTTTGTAACCTCTAATCCTTGGCTTATACCCACTCCGGGGGATTGGCCAAGAGAACATGTAGTCTCATATGGACGATATTTGCACTATTGCTTACAACGAGAAAAAAAAGGGGGGGGGGAGGGAGTTATAGAGTGAAGACAGTATATTAAAAAAAAGAACTAAATATTCAGATAGTGAGAAAAAATCAACAAGTAAGGAGACACCAATAGCTACACCTTGATTTTGGGAGCCAACCAACAGCTGGTTTTGCCAAACCCGATTAATTTGGTATGTCAAGAATTCATGTAGATTTGAAAATTACTTTTTGACCCGTTTTTTTTTTTTGAGTACCTGGTAACGTGGACTTATTGTTGAAGAACGTCTAGAGTCTTGAATAAAATTACACACCGCATCGAATGCATCTCTGTGGCAGTTTCCCAAAACAGAGGCACCAAGATTTAGAACATTTTCTGTGGTTAAATTTAAACCTAGCTTCGAAAACCGAATATCTAGAAGTCGTTTTCTAATTAAAGCATAGTTCCGACATGAGCCAAAATAATGTTCAATAGTTTCTGATTCTTCGCAAAACGGACAAAGGGGGGAAAGTGTCAGACCAGCTCTGTGTAAATAAAAATTTAATGGGGGGACACGGCACCCGAATCTGGAGATTGCAATTTGAAGTTTTTTTGACGGACTCCACTGGGCTTTCCATGGAAAATCGAGGTGCTGATAATCTGTCCATTGTGTGATATTTTCTAAGCTATCTGTAAAAATAGCGAATTTCCTATATCTAACCCGTGATAAGTATTCGAACTCGGGAAGTACTGAAATTACTGGTCCATCAAGTGATGCTCGTGTCAAAGCATCTGCCAATTCATTTAATTGTAATCCGCAGTGACCTGGGACTCATCACTAATTTGAGGAGTTTTAAAGGGGCGGTGCTAATGTGTGGAACGCTGCTAGGGCACGAGATTGTTCGGAGGTTGTCAGAGCTGCACACACCGAAGGTGAGGCTGTTAGGATGATTGCACTGGTCTCGGTCGTAGGAATTTTTCGAAGAGCTAAAATATTAGCTACTAGCTCGGCTTCAAATATAGGAGTGAAATTTGGAACCCTTACTGAAAAACACCAGCCGAGGAAATCAGACGCAATTCCTACGCCTGCCTTTTCATTGTTGACAGAAGCATCTGTAGCTATTACATTTTTTGTGTCTGCATGTACCAAGTATTCTTTTCATGTAGTGGTCGAAAATCTAAGAGATTGCAACTTGGTTTGTGGGGGAAGATTTCATCGTAATTTATTCTAATGTTGATGTCACAATCACAGTCGCGTACGTTGTCAAGCACTCTCCACCAAGCAGTGGCACATACCAGCGGGCGGATATATGTGCCACTGTTATTCGGGTTGTGCCACAAGTGATAGACACCTTGTATCTATACCCAGGAACGGTGGCAACACACATGGACAAGGTTAACACGTTAGCGTTAAGAAAAGGCTGGCATTGGCAACGTTGATCAGACGAATGCAAAGAATAAATATGAGGGTCCCAGCAGGAATCGAACCCCAGCATTCTACGTGGCGATCAAGTATTCTACCACAGAGCTTTGGCAGGGCTCGGAACTGTACTTCTCATATAAACCCTAATGTTCGCGAAACTCCAATTGTGGTTGCAGTTCTGGCTATATACTTTTATAAGCCTTACATGTGTACTCATGTGATACAGCCGGCATGTCGAGTTACCTTGTAGTTAGGTTTCTTCCCCATAAGCTGATTTACGTAGCACTGCCCAGGGCTGCCATCCTCGCGAGCACCAGCGCTTTTTATCATCTTATCGCTTCTGGAGTTCATTGCACTCCAGATTTATAAAGAACAACTTTTTGAACTGGTATAGCGCATTACGGGGAAGAAGAAACGGCCGAGCAGACCGACACAAGAGGACTAGCGCTCTGTCCTCTTGTGTCGGTCTGCTCGGCCGTTTCTTCTTCCTCGTAATGCGCTATGCCAGTTCAAGTACGACGAACCAACTCGCCCATTCTTCAACACTCGTGAACAACTTTTTGATGCGGCGTATGGTCTCTTCTGCAACATCGCGTATTCCGCGACTATACATTCGTAACCTAAAAATCGTGCGGTTGGTGAACCAGGCAGCCGGCAACTGATACATAGAGTAAATATGAAGGAGATACACAAAGGAGATCCTCGCCACAATAAGTTATTGTAACTTTGCGATGTCCGCGTCAAGTTTTGCAGCTGCATGCATATTTGAACTTGTATTGA